GAGCCTCAGTTTCCTGGTCTATATAATGACAATAAAGGCAGCGTAGGTGGGGTTCTCCGGGAAGCAGACTCTGAGATGTGTTTTAGGGTTCAGTGTCGGTGGAAGGGAGAAGGAAGCAGCGTTGAGCAGGGGGAGAAGTCAAGTTGTGATACTGGCTCATTAGAGCCTCGGCTAGCTCCACAGGGAGCTTTGGGGCTAAAGTGGCTCTGCCGAATTGTCCTGTGTTGGGCTGAAATGACGGAGACTTTTATACCGTGGGATGTGAGCTACCCTGGAAAGGGTGTGTGTCGGCCGAGGAGGCTCTCTGCAGCTGAGGTGGTCCCTGGAGGGGCCGAGAGCACTCCCAGCAATGGGGACAACCAGCCCTTCACCAAAGGGGGCTCTGGGGGGCATGGCTCTGTGTCCACCATGTAGAGTAGATACTTCAAAGGGTGGTTGTGATGACTGAATAATGCATGAGAGGGCCTTATCCTAGTGCCTGGCTCCTGGTAGGCAGTCAGGAAATGCAGCTGCTGCTGTTGTTTCTATGGGATTGTTGGCTCCGCTTATTCTTGCTGGGTGTCCTCGGGCTAGTCAACCTGTTCTCTGTGATTTAGGTTCCCTGTCCAGTCAAGCAAGAAGACTCTCAGCTGCCAGTTGTCTCTCCAAGTCATGTGTTTTAGTCATGTGTTTTGTGTCCATACCAAATCTGCTGAGAAAAATACAAGAAAATGACATTATTTTGATTTAAAAATCAGAAATGAGTCAGGGCAACCTTGTTCTGCTATCTTTGGATATATGGTGATATGCCTGCTTTCTTCTATTTTTCCTTTTATTTAACAGCTGTGGGCATAGAAACTCACCATTCAAAAACCCTCGCAGGAGCTAGTAAATTACAAAAGGATGGGCTTTTTCCTCTTTTGTTGAATTTAGTAACGTTCTTTTTGCCAAAACGGTACCCATGCGTTGGGCAGACTGCAGAAGAACAGTAACCATCGAGGGCTGCAGCCCCATTGGGTGTCAACTGCTCCAAACACATGCTTTGGAGAATTTCAGAAATTCTGGTATTTTTCAGAACCTAAATTCATTAGCATTGTTGTAAGAGTCTATAAATACAGTGAAAGGCATTTACAAATAGACATTGTAAAACGCTTCCACACCCACAGTCTGAACACTGTCAAAACACCAGCTGCAGCTTCCCTACTTGGAAGGATCAGAACCTTTTTTAAACTACACCTACTGTGTTTTCAAAATAGGCTTGCTTCTGGCCCTGTGGAGAAGATAGTTTCAGCCGAAAGCCTGTGTTTGGCTCTTGGCATGAGGGCTCAGGGCTCAGTTAGAGAGATAGGGGCTCCCAGTCTCCTTCCTGTCAGAATGTGGCTGGCATTTTAGAATCTGGGGAGGGGTCGCTCAGGGATGGTACTTCCTATTTCTTCAGGGTGGTCCCTCGTGACCTAGACCTCTCAGTCTATGATTTGTAACTCCACACATCCCCAAATGGTTCCCGGGTGAGTTCCAGATGTGGTCACAGGGCATCACACGGGCACCTGTGGATGGGAGGTTCATAAAGGAGAGTTTGTAGGCAGAGGCCAGGCAATCTCGCCCTTTACCTTGATGATGCTGTTGGGGAGAAAGGAGAGAGAACACAAGCTGCCTGAATTGTCCGAGTCTCTATTATTAAATATGAACTTTTTTTTTTAAAGTGAACTTTAAAACTAAGGAAAAATTCACCTATAGTCTTCTCTCGAAGACAACTACTATTAACATTTTGGATTGTTTCTTACCCATATTTTTCCTCTGTGTGATTTGGTTTGTTTTTCATAGGTGTGATCATACTGAATGTCATACAACTTTGCCTTTTGGAAAAAAACTGCATTTATTGTACAAATACATAATGCATTCCCATTTCAGAAAAAAAGGCAAATGTTCATTAATTCCACAAGTGCTCTGAGCCCCTGCCATGTACCAGGTGCTGAATTGGGTGCTAGAAATCACCCACCAGACTACCCAGGAATAACAAGTATAAATATTCTTCCAGTGTTAAAAATAAATCCCTCTTCTTAGTATATCAGAAGGGCATGTGGGTGCATGTGCATTGAGGTGTATGTTGTTTTTAACTTGCCTTTGTCCCTTGACATTGTGACATAAGCATTTATCCCTGTTGTCATAAACTATTTACAAATATCATTTTGATGACTATATAAAAGCCCATCAAATATCGTAGGTTATTCAATTCTTCCCCTATTTATGAAAAATTCCATATCTTTTCGATTTATCGTTATTACAAATAGCACTGTGATAAATATATTGATCTGCAAAAGCCATTGGGTATTTCAGACTGTTTCTTTCGCATAGACTCCCAGGACAGGTCCAAAGCAGGTGAAGGTTTCAAATGCTATTGATATATACCCTATTCTTAAAAACTGCCTCTTTTTACCCTACATCATTCCCCAAAGGTTTTGAGATAACTTTCAAAAATGCATATAAAAGAATAAAATAGTTGAGAGTGACAACAAAAGGGAAACAAAGGTAAAAAATTAGTACCGCCCAAGATAAGATCAGCACAGTCATGTGCAATAGGGTTCTCTGCAGCCCTCAAGATAGGCTCACATTTGACTGGAAGCTTCCAGCTGTCAAATCCAAGAAGAAAATGGCAGCTCCAAAAAGCTCCTTCTTCCCACCAACACCCCCTCTGATTTTCTCCCTAGCTGCCCACCAGGGTGTCACCTCAAACCATCCTCCCATTGGCAAAAAAAAGCCCAGTGGGATTAACTGGACTTTTGTTGCCTGAGTGACCTCTCTCCCCAGACAGAGCATGTGTTCTCGTATGTTTTGGTCCTTGGTATGTTCCCGAAAGGACAGAACTGTCTGGCTGTGAGTATAACTTGAGTTCAGTCTGTAGTTTGAAGGACAACAGCACCAAATCATTCAGACTCGTAGACACCAAATAATAAGATTAAGGGCCCTCACGAACTTTTAAAAATGAAAATGCTTTCCTACTAATAAGACCACATTTCTAAAACGTTTCATTCAGAAGGTTACATTCAAATTAGCGGATGCTGGGGCCCTGCCAATAAAATATTTTGAAATAAATTCCTCAATCCCTCCGCTCCTGTTGGCTCGGGGTCTGTCTGAGGGAGTGTGCCTTGTGGGGCCTGAGCGTTAGTAGCCAGGGGATGGAGAGGGAATCTCCTACAGAAACCTGGCCTGGGAGGGTTGGAGTGAGGCGGGAAATGAAGGCTCTGCTATGAAGCTCAAGCTGCTTCCCCTTTCCAAGTACAGTAGTCCACGCTCTCCTTGAACTTTTATTTCAACCGAGCTCTGAAAACCCCAGCAAGTCTCAACCCACAGACAGTCTTCGAGCTGCATTTTCTCTTGGTGGAGGCCAAGCTGTTTGGCCCAGCTCTGCTTCTCCACAATTCCCACCTCTGCTCATCTTTGGTTGAGGGTGCTTGTGGTTATGCTTGAGGTTGAGAATCAGTCTTGTTCGTTTGGGAACTGACGGGGGCTGTTCTCCACCATCACAAGGATGTGCCTGTCATGCTGAATGCTGCCCCCACCACCCCTTCTTGAGTGAGAAACCCGAGGTCATCCCTGTCACTTTCCCTCCCTGACCTCCAGATTTATAGGGCTCCTGCTTCAGCTTTCTCCCCATCCCCCGTTACCTCCAGGACAGACTGAACCCTGTAGTCCTCAGCCCAGCACAGTCGGACCTTTGCCAACCTTGCTCCTCTTGCTACTCTCTGGGGACCTCAGGCTTTAGCCTTGGGACCCTTGGCCACAGTGGGCACTCCCACCTACACTTGGGTCCTTGCTTAATCATGATTCTTGTTAATATATCCTCTTCCTTTTCCTCCCAGGCCCAACTGTGATACCACCTCCTCTGTGTGCTGCCTGCCCCACCATGCAGATCCCCTGCACTGACCCACTCCTTTCATCCCATAGAACTTTGATGTGCCTGTATCCTATACAGCCTGTGCCATGTGGGCTCTGGTTGTCTGTCTCTTTCTCCCATTTAGACCATGAGCCCCTCAAGAGTAGGTACCATCTGGCTTGGCCCTCTCAGTACCCCCAGCATGATAGGTACTTGACAAGTGTTCCTTGAGTAAATCTGTTACTCATTGTGTAGTTTTGCTTCAGGCCATGGTGAGTGCCGGGAGCCATGAGATGGACTATTTCTGTGGCTTTCCCGGAAGGACTGTTTGGCTTCTCCCTCTCATTTTATGGGCACTGATCTTTTCCTATTTCACTACCATCCCAGACCTTGGATAATCCTGTTTGGGGCTCATCCCCCCTAAAAGTGCCCAAAGAGCTGCCCTTTTGGAGGAATTTGGAGAAACCTTCTGCTTGTGCATATGTGGGCTGTTTCTCTCATCATCTTGGAGGCCTGTTCCTGTCCTCAAGGGCTGCTCCTAGCCCAAATGCAGAGGGAAGTCACTCGTGTCCTGACGGGCATGGGGGCACCCACCCAAGAGCTGTCTAATTTTACAGGCATATGCCCCAGCGCCAGCTTTCAAGCTGCCAGATCTCAACTCTACACCTTGTGCCTGTCAACAGCCTGGCTGATGCCTCAGCCCCAGGCCAGAAAACCTTTTTCTCAAGGTTAAAAGTAGCCGACCTTTGACAACCAGCATTGGCTAAATTCCTTGCTCCTTAAAAGGGAAGCTCCCAGTGCCAGTTGCTGGTGCTTATTTGGCCATGGGTTGGGAGCAGGCTCTATGTTGTACCCTGTGTACCAGCAGGAGGGTTTGTGGCTGAAGACGCATTGCTGAACAGTCATTATTAAAATAGCTGTCTTTGAAAATGCGTGCTGGAGAGGAGGGCATCCAATTTGGCGGCCAGTTTGCACCAAGGCCCATGTGGTTGGATAGTTTGTTGGCTCCCACTGGCTTCCTCACAGGCGACAGTGCCACCCGCCCCACGCACAGCACACTCCTTAACGTGTATGCAGCAAGAAAGCTGACAAAATGACGAGGACACACACCAATTATTAAATGCCTGAATTTGTGTTTTTAATGTAGGGGTGACGGTCCAAAGATTGACTTGGTGGGCAGTTCGATATCCGGCATCCTGGACAAGGATCTCTCGGACCGCAGCAATGACATCGGTGAGTCAGGAGAGCATTCTTGCTTCTCTTTGCAAAATTTTGAAAGAACTACAGAGCTTGGCTTGCCCCTTCAAGCAACCTGATGAGAACTAACCCAACTATTTAAATAAAGGCTAACAGCCTTTGATTGGTTTTAGGTGTTACAATTTCGAAACCAAGGGAAGTGACAGTGGTTCCCACATTAAAATAGAATGCCTGGGATTTTTACTCTCCCTGGCCTTAGGAGAAATTTCTTGCAAGGTCTAATGAAAAGAAATGATGTATAAACCTTTTTGTAAAAGTGGGCATTAGCATTTATATTCATATTTTCCAGTGCTTTATGTATTTAGTGTAAAAAGGTGAATGGGTGAAAATGCAGAATGGCAGAGTTCATTGTAGACACAGCACTAAGTGTTTTTACTTTGAGTTTAAAATGAGCTTTGGTGTGATAATTGCCACTTACTTCAGAAGGTGAGTGAGTTTTTCCAAGGTCAAGATACTACCATGTGATAAATGGGAAGGTAGCTGAAGTCTCTGGGTAAACAAGTCAGAGGGCCTTTTGGGGGTGTGTGTGGGTGGGTGTGAGGTCACGTGTGTGCTGGTTGAGGCCACTGTTGGTCTGACTTGGGTGACAGCCCTTCTACGAAGTGGAGATTTAGGGACTAAATGTTTTTTGAGCTTTACATCTTTTATTTGTACCTGTCATGGTCATAAGTTAGCATTCTCTCATATTCTACATAATAGAGAGGGCTACATTTTGGAATATGCCTTTTTTAACTTAAATTTTTTATTTTGAAATAATTATAGATTCACATTCAGTTGTAAGAAATAATAGAGAGATCCACATTGCCTTTACCCAGTTTCCCTCAATGGTGACATCTTGTGAAAGTCCAGTGCAAGATCACAACCCAAATATTGACGTTGATCCAGTCCACCAGATTCCCCAGTTTTACTAGTACTTATGCATATTTAGTTCTGTGCGATTTTGTCACATGTGTGGGTTTGTGTATCTACCACCACAGTCAGGATACAGAATGTTCCATCACCACTAGGATCCCTTGTGTTGCACTTTTATAACCACACCCACCTCCCTCCTGCCCCCCTCCCCTTCCCTAAGCTCTGGCAGTCACTATCAGGGATTGATTTGACATGGAAAATTTCCAGCGTCATTTGCGTTGGCTGCTCAATTTAGAAACAAATGTCCGACAGTTGGCAGGCCTTATAAGAGGCACCAGAGCACCTAACATGAGCATTCTCGTCACCTGGGTGGCTACAGTTTTCTTCTGAACCTGCTCATAGAGTTGCATCTTTGCAACTGCTGACCTGGAGCCTCTGGTCTGATCTTGTGAAGGCTTGGGGGTAGGATGTGTCACTGTGACTGTAAACACCAAAAGTACTTGTCCTGTTTCCAGAAACTGTTTTACATCCTCAGTCAGCCTTTGAGAAGCCGAGTCAGGAAGCATGACCAAGAGCTTCTGACAGCTTGAGATGATGCAATAATAATAGAAACGCTGGCCTGCTGTAGCTTTTGACCTGGTTAAGGGTCAGGGAAGAGCAGAGCAGTGATTGGCAGTGAATGAGAAGGAATCATCAGAATGAGCCTGATTAAGTTCCAGTTCTACTGCTGCAGTTAGCATTCGGGCTCTGTTTCAAGGCAGGGTGATTGGTTGGCGAAGTGTCAGTGAGGGTCTTGTGGGTCTCCCACCTCTGGAACACACAGAGCCGTACCTTGCTTGCGAAGAGCATTGGCTTTGACTCTTGTTTTCTTTGGGTCTAGAAATCACTAAGGTGGCTATCGCCAAAGTATGAATCCCATGTTTTTCAGTCTGACAAGCTAGTTTGGAAATGTTGGAGGCATTGATGGAGGGGCCTTAGTCTATGGAAGCTTTTCATACTGTGGAAACTGACTACCAGCTGTATGTATTTGGGAGCTCAGAAAGAGATGCTGAGGTTGAATTCACTCTCATTTTTTTTGTGTGTGCTGGGAAAGATTCAATGTGAGCTAACATCTGTTGCCAATCTTCCTGTCTTCCTTTTTTTTTTCTTCCCCAAAGCCCCAGTACACAGTTGTATATTCTAGTTGTAGGTCCTTCTAGTTCTGTGTGAGCCGCCACCACAGCATGGCTACTGACAGACCAGAGGTGTGGTTCCATGCCCTAGAACTGAACTCAGGCCACCAAAGCAGAGAGTGCCGAACTTTAAGCACTAGGCCATCAGGGCTGGCTCTAATTCACTCTCATTTTGCCAAGAAGACGTTAATCCCAGTAAACTGTAATTCCTCAAGCTAATAATTTAATGTGTATATTATTTGCATTGCAAGAAACAATGATTGGCGGCTATGTAATCAACCATTAAATACTTGAGTACCTACTACTCAAGTGCAAGGCTGAATGGATACCAAGGTCCTCGCACACAGGCCCTGCCTCCCAGGGGCTTTGGGTCTGTTTGGGTCCCTAAGACAGCAAATGAAAAGTAACAGTCTGTCTAAATGATGACTGAGTGGTAGAAAGTAATGCTGCTCAGAGTTGGGGATGCTCCTTGTTGCCCAGGGTATTAGGGCAGCCTCCATGGAGAGGGGCAGACTTTTCTGGATCTGGAAGTTGGATTTGCTTAGGTAGGGGCAGAGGTAGGCAGGGAAGTCACATGAGGAGTGCTGGTAACTGCGCCTGGATCAGCCCAGCTGCAGTAGAGGGTTTGTGCTGGCCTGGGGGCTGGGGGGCTGACCTGCAAATGTAAGTCGGGCCTGGATTGAGTTTGAGAGGGACAGATTTGTAATTTATTCTGTAGGCAGTGGGAGCCATTGATGGTTGCCACTGAAGTGACATGATCAGGTCTAAAAATTCAGATAGTAACTGATAGAGCTTTGTGGGACCAATGAGATGAAGGAAAGATGGGTGTCAAAGAGTCAAGTTATTTGATAGCTTGAGGGAGAGGCAGTTAAGAGAGAGCCAGAATTAAGCTGCTCACAAAAGGATTATGAAAGAAAGGATAGATGTGGATGCAGCAATACAAGAGAATTATTGCTAGGCTTCAGTAACAGATTGGACTTGGGAGTGGGGAGGAGGAGAGAATGATTTGTTAGTTGTGAGATTTTAGTGTTGGGTGACTGGGGGAAAAATGACTTGGGTAGAAATAAGCATGTCTGGAGGAGGAACTGGTTTAGGGGGAAACATGATGAATTTATTTAAGCATGTTGACTTTGAGATTTGATCGGACATTCCAGTCTCAGTGCTGGATGAAGGCTGAAGGTGGAGGGCCGAGGCTGGAGAGGCGGGCAGAGATTGCAGGTAGAGATTAGGACCTTCCGGGAGACAGGAACGCAGGGCTGGCATCTCCAGACGTGGCTTTGAGTGCTGCTGGTTCTGCTGCTTCCTGGCTGGGTGACCTTCTGTATTTTACACAGACTCTCTGAGCTTCACCTTCTTTGTCCATAAAGAATACTGACATCTCTACCAACTTCCTCACCTTGTCTTCCAGAAATATGTGAAATCTCTTGGTGGGCTGCAAAAAGATTGAGATGCTTAATTATTAATATTATTGTTTGCTTAGAAGTGATAAAGTCAGGAAGATAAACAAAATCCTTACCATGAGAAAAGAGAAAAAAGAACCTACAGCTGAATACCAAACCCTGCGCAAAGTCCACGTCTAAGAGAAAAGCCGAATCTGACAAAGTCACAGGGGCCAAGGGAGGACGGGATTTTAAGCAAAATGTCTTTAGACCCAAATGCGGAAATGCCCTTTGCAGGTGGGTCGGTCAAGGAGACTAGGACATTGTAGAGGGGCTGGCTCGCTTCAGAGCTGCTTTTGTATCTCTGCTTTTGTAGCATGTGTTCATTGCTTTGAATCAAACAGAACTTATTTGTACCAGAATGTTTTGTTAGTGATTCAGACAATTGAAGCTGCCCAAATTTGGGCTGCAGTGAATAGCCGAATACAGCCCTGAAAGCCATTAGAAATCATCAGTGTTAGCTATAAATAAATCTGTGTTTCCTCTTAATAAAGCTATAATTTTAAATTATTACAATATTAAATTGAAGAACATGGCTTTTTCAGATCTTGGGTGGGCAGCTGCCAGCATCTGTCAGCCCATGATAACTTAGAATGAGATCAATTTATCCAAAACTATATTGTTGATGTCAGTTTGAGATATTGTTTGTATCAAACTACGCGGCCATATTTTATTTCAAGTAACATAATAGAAAACATGGATGAGTTCCAGCACGGGCCTGTGCATGAACAGAAGTGAAAATTAAATTGTCCGGTTTTCTCTTGCTGACAGAAGAATCTCTGTTCCGATTGAACGAGAGATTATAGGCGGCAGAGTCAAGTGCCATAACATTTACTTTTATTATGCCCTATATTGTAGTTCCCACGGCATGGCGGGATTTATTGTTCCATTGTTCCACTTCAATACTAAGGAGATTTTCCATTCCTTTCCCACTAAAGCACCTGGCAACAGGCCTCCAGGTGGGAAGCAGCCTGGGAACTAAGCCGTCTAGTTTCAACCCATAACTCACTTAGAAAAAGCCCATCTCATTCTTCTTCAGTGGCTTGCCTTCTTTAACTGTTTTTTTTTTTTTTCCATTCTATTCGAAACTCGCCAAGCCATTCCCACTTCCATGTCTTTACGTGGCCACCACCCCCTCTTCCCTTGAGGAAGCTGAGGACTTCCCCTCCATCTTTTCAACCTGACCCACAGACCCACACTTCACATGGTAGTCAATGTGGGGGCCAAGTGTCACTAGCTTGAACGGACTTAGGGCGTGGACCTTGTTTGGAAGATATGAAGACTAACTTCACCTTGTCCTCAGTCACTCATGGATGCCTCCAGCCCTCTTCATTTGGACCAGGAAATGCAAAAACACTTACCTGCACCCCAGGAATGCTATTAAGAGCTCATCGATTTGGGGTGCTAGAATGGTTCTAAAAGTGGATTGTGGTGATGGTTGCACAACTCCATAAATTTACTAAAAATCATTAAGTTGTACTCTTAAAATGGGTGAACTTTATGGTATATAAAT